TTTGCTCAGGTGTGAAGATATCTGAGGAAACTGATGCAGTTATATGGAACCCTTTGTACTATTTCTTGCAACTTCTTTTAAGTCTGATTGTATTTCAAATTTATTTATTTTAAAATGTAATTTATGATAATGGGTGGCTCAAGCCTGTAATCCCAGCACTTTGGGAGGCCGACGGGTGGATCAGGCGAGGTCAGGAAGATGAGACCATCCTGGCTAACACGGTGAAACCCCTCTCTATTAAAAATACAGTAAAAAACTAGCTGGCGAGGTGTGGCGGCGCCTGTAGTCCCAGCTACTCAGGAGGCTGAGGCAGGAGAATGGCGTGAAACTGGGAGGCGGAGCTTGCAGTGAGCTGAGATCCGGCACTGCACTCCAGCCTGGGCGACAGAGTGAGACTCCGTCTCAAAAAAAAAAAAAAGAAAAAAAAAGAAAAAAAAATTAATTTATTTAACTTAAAATGAAGAGGCGGGGTACGTGGCTCACGCCTGCAATCCTGCACTTTGGGCGGAAGATCACGAGGTCAAGAGTTTGAGACCAGCCTGGCCAAGGTGGGTGGATCACTTGAGGTCAGGAGTTCAAGACCAGCCTAGTCAACATAGTGACAACAACCTCTGTCTCTACTAAAAATATAAAATTAGCCGGGTGCCGTGGGCGGGCACCTGTAATCCCAGCTACTCGGGAGGCTGAGGCAGGAGAATTGCTTGAACCCGGGAGGTGGAGGCTGCAGTGAGCCGAGATTGTGCCACTGCACTCCAGCCTGGGTGATAGAGCGAGACTTCCATCTCAACAAAAAAGAAGGAGAAGGAGAAAGAGAAGGAGAAGGGGAAGGGGAAGGGGAAGGGGAAGGGGAAGGGGAAGGGGAAGGGAAGGGAAAGGGAAGCGGAGAGGAGGAGGAGAGGAGGAGGAGGAGGAGGAGGAGGGGGAGGGGGAGGGGAGGGGAGGGGAAGGGGAAGGGGCGGGAAGGGAAGGGAAGGGTGTGGGGGAGAGGGAGGAGGAGGAGGAGGAGGAGGGGGAGGGGGGAGGGGGAGGGAAGGGGCAGGGGAAGGGGGAGAGGAGGGAGGAGGAGGAGGAGGAGGGGGAGGGGAGGGCGGGAGTGGGAAGGGAAGGGGAAGGAAGGGAAGGGGAAGGGGAGAGGAGGAGGAGAGAGAGGAGGAGGAGGGAGGGGAGGGGAGGGGGAGGGGAAGGGAAGGGGAGAGGAGAGGAGGAGGAGGGAGGGGAGGGGAGGGGAGGGGGCAGGGCGGGAAGGGGAAGGGGAGAGGAGGAGGAGGAGGAGGGGAGGGGGAGGGGGAGGGGAGGGGAGGGGAGGGGGAGAGGGAGGAGAGGAGGGGGAGGGGGAGGGGAAGGAAGGGGAAGGGGAAGGGGAAGGGGAGAGGAGGAGGAGGAGGAGGAGGAGGAGGGAGGAGGAGGAGGGGAGGGGAGGGGAGGGGGAGGGGGAGGGGAGGGGAAGGGGAGGGGGAGGGGAGGGAAGGGGAAGGGAAGGGGGAGAGGAGGAGGAGGAGGAGGAGGAGGAGGAGGAGAAGGAGGGGAAAAAGCAGAGTTGATCAGAAGGAGATAGAATGTGTCACCGAGTTAAAAGTGAAGGCTTGGGGGAACCCAGCTGTGGCACTTTGGGTTTCACCTCCCAGCACTGCTGACCCCTGGTTGCAGATCAGGTCATGGGAAGGAGAAGGCGGCCCTACCCCAGGTGAACAGGATCCAGCCCAGCTTTCTTCCAGAGGCAGTTCCAGCCCCAAATCCCTGGCTGATGTGCCTAGTTTGGGTTAGGGGTTCCTGCTATCATGGGCAAGGGGCCACCTTTGGTCACATCCGACATCCTGTTGTCAGGAACTTGAGGCCATGGGTTGAGGGAGAACAGGGAAGGCAGATGAACCAATAAGGCATTCACGATGAAGTCCCTCCAACCTCACCTGGCTCCGAGCTCCTTAAGGGCAGGAATTATACTTGATTGATCACTCCCCAGGAATTACAGAAACCTGTGACTAATAGAAATGTCTAAGTTTGCTGGATAAGAAAAGAAACAACTTACTGAAACTCCCTGTGCTTGTAAGATAACAAAACTGGCTGAAATCAGTTGGAACGACATGGCGGACTGGAGTGTGCACAGAACGAGCTTGCTGATGTCAGAGCCTCAATTTCCACTGCATGTTTTAGACTAACACTCCCCAAATTTGCACATGTGATCCATGAGGAGGGATGAGAGATAACTGTGCATGCCAGAGGCCTTTCCAGACTTCCTATTTCCTTCTACCAATCGCCTACCTACTAATCCCACTATCTGACCCCTAAACCTCTTCTAATAAAGGTATTGACTGCCTTAGTGTGGGCGTGGTGCCTCAGGCCTACAATCCCAGTCCTTTGGGAGGCAGAGGGAGGAGGATCACTCGATGCCAAGAGTTCGAGACCAGCCTGAGCAACATAGCAAGACCCCCATCTCCACACCTGCAGAAAGTAAAGTCTTAAAGCTAGCACGGGGAGACAGCTTTGAGATGGACTCCCATCTGCTTGTTAGTCAACTTGCAATAAAAAGCTTTTCTCAAAAACCCTCGTGTCCTAGCATTGGCTCCTAGCGCGTCGGACAGCAAAGCCCCTTTTGCTCCGTAAAAGCACAACGTGCTGGTTCCCTGCCCGTGATGGGAAGATGAAAACTCAGTTGCAGCTGTGAAGGCCCCTTTTCCTGAAGCCCAGCTGCAGAACCACCGTCCTCCTTGGCTGCAGAGGAGAGAGCGACATAAGTCTTCAGAGCTCAGCCTGGGCTCAGGGGATCCTGGGAGACCTGTATCCTGGTGAGCCAAGGAGGAAGCAGACAGCAGGGAGGCCACTCAGCAGTTAAGGGTAAGTCATTTGAAGGCCTCCCATTTCCTGCCTCCAACCCCCGCAATTAGGAGAAAGCCCTTACTCCTCACTGCAGCCTCCAAGGCCCTGCACACTCCCTCCCTGAGCTCATCTCCACCACCTCTCTTTTTGGTCACTCGGCTCTAGCCACACCGAGATCCTCACTGTGTAAAAGTATTCCCGGCTGGGCGCGGTGGCTCAAGCCTGTAATCCCAGCACTTTGGGAGGCCGAGACGGGCGGATCATGAGGTCAGGAGATCGAGACCATCCTGGCTAATATGGTGAAACCCCGTCTCTACTAAAAATACAAAAAATTAGCCGGGCGTGGTGGCGGGCGCCTGTAGTCCCAGCTACTCAGGAGGCTGAGGCAGGAGAATGGCGTGAACCCAGGAGGTGGAGCTTGCAGTGAGCCGAGATCACGCTACTGCACTCCAGCCTGGGCGACTGAGCGAGACTCCATCTCAAAACAAACAACCAAACAAACAGTTTCTGTGGGTGAGGAATGGGAAGGGCTAGGCTGGGTGGTTGTGTGGGGACTCAGAGTCTCTCATGCAATTAGTCAGCAGCTGCCACAGGAGCTGTTGGGGGTTGGCTGAGCATCTCTTGGCCAGGGCCTTGCCATGAGATCTGTGTTTCAGCTTCCTTACAGCATGGCAGCTGCAGGGCAGTTGGACTGCTCACATGGTGGCCAAAAGCTTTCAGAGAGACTGTTCCAGCAATGCTGCAGAAGCTGCATTTCTGTCCCTTATGTCCTAGCCTTGTCAGTTACATGGTGTCATTTCTTCTGTGCTCTATTGATCAGCAAGCCCACCTACATTCAAGGGAAGGGAGCACCCTCCTCTCTTGCTGGGAAAAGAGTCAACAAATTTGGGACCATATTTTAAAGCTACCACAGTAGGCAATTGAGAAATATTTGTGTAAGTGAATGTTGACTAAGTTAATTTGCTACCAGAGGCCAGATAAGGAAAGCTGGCAGCCATCAACACTTGGAGGAGGCTTGCGAAACCACTGGAAACGTCCTTGGCTCATCGACCTGACAGGTTTTGCGTGTCTCAGTGTCCCCTGAAAAGCCACGACTGGATAATATTTAGCAAGTGATGACACGGTGCTGCGAGCTTCCCAAAGTGTGGGATGAATGTGGTGTGTGACCTGACTTTAGGCGACATGTAGACATGGTGTTAAACGATAATGAATCACATAGATTATGTTAGCCCGTTTTCAATTCTCTTCACTCCTTCTCATCACTTCAAGGAGAAAGTTCCCGCCAAGTGCTAAAGCGTCTTCAATAACGCTCTAATACTTGCTAATCTCCCTTTGTATCAAGGAAAAAGCAGTCCCAACACCTTGATAGGCAACAGTATCTACTTTGAATTTGAAAACATTGTTTCATTTTCATGTTTGCTTTTACAATGGTGTACTCATGGCTTAGTGGTTTTCTATTTTAAACGGTGATACAAAGTATCTATTTAATGAAAATTTAAACCAAAAGAAAAGTATCAAGTTCATTAAAGGTCACACTGTTCAGATATGGTAAAGGCTGAGAAGACCTACCCAAGAGAAGTTTGGGGAAACCTAAAAATAATGAGACCAACACCCTAGGAATGAGAGATGACCTGAGTTCTACACACTGTGGGTGACCAGGGGGACTGACATTCGAGCTACTCTTAGAGAATTTCTTTGTGGTTTTTTTGTTTTTGTTTTTGTTTTGAGACACAGTCTCACTGTGTTGCCCAGGCTGGAGTGCAGTGGTGTGATCTCAGCTCACTCCAGCCACTGTCTCCCGCATTCAAGCGATTCTCCTGCCTCAGCCTCCCGAGTAGCTGGGATTACAGGTGCCCGCCACCATACCCAGCTAATTTTTGTATTTTTAGTAGACAAGGGGTTTCACCACATTGGCCATGATGGTCTTGAACTCCTGATCTCAGGTGATCCACCTGCCTCAGCCTCCCAAAGAGGCTCACACCTGTAATCCCCCCACTTTGGGATACCAAGGCAGGTGGGTTGCTTGAGTGCAGGAATTGGAGGCTGCAGTGAGTAATGATCACACCACTGCACTCCTGCCTGGGCAACAGAGTGAGACTCTGGTATTAGTGATATCACATTAGTAACTTAATATAGGCCATGACTGAAGTATTTACACCAAGAAAATCAGCAGACGCTACAAATCAGGGTTCAATTTGTTTTATTAATTGTCTTGTGGTCTTAAGGAAGTGATAGAAAAATCAGTAAAATTTACAATAAACTATATACACACACATAAATACATACTAACAAATACATTCTCCTCCAGAGAAGCTGTTGTTAAATATTTACCACATCCCACTGGCTGTTCAGAAAAGTATAACCATGTAAATAGCTCTAATGTCATAGCTCAAAAGTAGCCAGAGATAATATATAAATGAGTAAGCATGGCTGTTTTCAAATGAAACTTTATTTATAGACACTGAAATGTAAATTTCACACCATTTTCACATCAAGAGATATTCTTCTTTTGGTATTTTTTTTTTTTTCCCAACCAGCTAAAAATGTAAAAAGTCAGAGGGCGTGGTGTCTCATGCCTGTAATCCCAGCACTTTGGGAGGCCAAGGTGGGTGAAGCACCTGAGGTCAGGAGTTCGAGAGCAGCCTGGTGAAACGCTGTCTCTACAAAAAAACACAAAAATTAGCTGGGTATAGCGGCACATGGCTGTAATCCCAGCTACTCAGGAGGCTGAGGCAGAAGAATCACTTGAACCCGGGAGGCGGAGGTTGCAGTGAGTCAAAATTGTACCACTGCACTCCAGCGTGGGCAACAGAGACTCGGAAATAAATAAAAGAAAGCGAAGGGAAGGAAAGGGAGGGAAGGAACAAGGGGAGGGAGGGAGGAACCATTTTTAGTTCATAGGCTATATCTGGACCACAGATTGTAGTACTCCTCACTCTCTTTTAGATCATACTCAAAAAGGTACAGAGCTGGGACTCAAACCTAGGTAAGATCTGAAATACAAGGTCCCAGGCAGAGAGATCAGCAAGCATAAAGGCCCTTAGGCTGGAATGAGCTTGTGCTCCAAGGATGGAAAGACCCACATGGCTGAACAGCAATGAGCAAGGGGAAACAAAGTAGGGCATGGGAGCCAAGTTCAGGGGACTTCATAAGCCTGAATAAAAGGTTTAGGATATTCCAAGTTCAGCTGAGAGCCCTCTGGAAGCACTGAGTGGCCTTGATATTTCTGTTTTCAGTCTATGTATATATATACACACACACACACACAAATATATACACACATATGTATGTATATATCTGTGCGTGTATATATGTATGTAGATAAAAACAAAGTATTTATGTCTATATATATGGGGGGGTTCTTGCTCTGTCCCCAGGATGGTGGCAGTGGCACTGTCGTCATAGCTCACTGCAGCCTCAACCTCCTGGGCTCATGTGATCCTCCTGCCTCAGCCTCCCGAGTAGCCGGCCTGCACCACCACACCCGGCTAATTGTTGTGTTTTTGTAGGGATGGGGTCTTGCTCTGTTTTCTAGGCTGGTTTTGAACTGAGCTCAAGAGATCCTCCCACCTTGGCCTCCCACAGTGCTGGGATTACAGGGGTGAGCTACCGCATCTGGCTGATTATGTTTTTAAAAGACTTCTCAGCCTGCGGCCATGGGCAGAACAGAGCCTGGGGCTTCCAAAGAATGCAGCAAAGTCCAAGTCTTCTATGAGGCTGTCCAGGTCTTCCATGAGACAGATATGGACGATGTGGCCTAGGGTGGTGACAGCCTGGCTGGGGAGAAAGCGTGGATCTGGGCTGTACTTTGGAGGCAAGGCCAGGTCCGAAAGATTTGCTGAGAGATCCATAGCAGGTGAGTAGAAAACAACTCCAGGGTGTCCAAGACCCTCCCATGAGCTTGTGAAGTTGATTCTCGTGGCTCCGAAGGGTCGAGTCCCACGCGCCGGGTCCCCCCGACCCCCGCCAGCACCTGGGTCCCAGGGCTGAGCCCCCTCCTCGCGCCTGAGCACGACCCCCGCCCTCGCCGATGAGCTCTGATTCCCCCCAATCCCAAGCACCCCGCGCCCTCTCGCCACTTCCCCCGTGGTTTCAGGAAAGCGTTTGCTGAAGGTAACGGCTCCTAAGGCGGGTAAACTGAGGCAGGAGGTAACGCATCTCCCGCCCGCGCGTGTGGGGAGCCGCCGCAGGCCCGGGGATTTACCTGGAGGAAGACCTCGGCTGAGGCAGTTCAGTCCTGAACTGCTCACTGTCCCACCGCGGGGGATCCCCGGAAAACGAGCGGGAAAAACAAGAGCCTGAGGACCCGCCTCGCGCCGCGCGGCGCCGCCTCACTAAACCTTAGTCGCTGCCACTGCGCATGCCCCCTTCCCGGCCCTGTCTCCGCCCCCTCAGTCGGCGGGAAAAGGAGGCGGGAGACGGCTCGTGCGCAGGCGTGTGTTGGGAGCGCGGCTCCGCAGGGCAGGCGGCTTGGCCCGGCAGGCGATCTGGAGCGCGCCTCCACGCGGCGCTCAGCGCGCAGGCGCGAGCTGGCCGCCTCACAGGGAGTAGGCTTGTTAAGTGCGCACGCGCGGGAGTTTCTGGCAGAAAGCAGGCGAGCCTGGGCCGGCGCGGGGCCTTGTGGGAGGGCTTAAGGAAGTAAAATGGCGGACCTGGCGAACGAAGGTAGGGGAGGCGCCGTCGGGGACCGGCTGGCGGCCGGGGAACGGGCAGCGGGAGGACCAGAGGCCACAAGCGTGTGGGGGGAACACCGCAGAGTGCAAGGGTTTCGTCCGCTTCAGGCTAGCACCCTGGCGGGCCCTGCAGCCGCCCCCCATTGCCTCCCCTCAGGTCGGGCTCACCGGCCCGGCCCATCACTCCCGGCAGCCCCGGCCCCTGCAGCCGTCTGGCTAGAGGAGCCAGGAGGCCGTCGAGATCGCAGCCCTAAGGGCCCTCTGCGTCGCAGCCAAGCTCGGGGCTGAAGGGGGCGGGAGGAGCGACCCCAGTGCTTCGGCCACAGATGTAAATAGACCTTGGGGCCTGGTCGTGGCCCGGAGCGCGCCACGCTCCCTCCCCGCCCCCTCGTCCTCCGCCACCCGGCATCTCCCCTTCCCCGGCCTGGCTGCCTATCTCCTGAGCCCATGAGGCCCTCGTCCTCCGCGGACCAGCCGCACACCGCGGCCGGAGGAAGCCCAGGCCGTTTTCACCCCGTCCCCGTCCCGAACTTCGGCCCCCACTTCCCGCCAGTTCCCCCCGGATCCTTCGGGGCGCCTCGTCTCCCCCTCATTTAGGCCCCGCCGCAGGAGCTGGGCCGCCGAAAGCCCTGGCTGCTTTTTGGTCCTTTTTGCTGCGCTTCCAGGCAGAGACCGTGCGAATCCCTCCTCTGTGGAGCGCTGACAGCCCACCTGAGTGTTTTTGACAAGGTTACACTTCCAGATCCCCCGAGAAGGCACCGTAAGGCTGATGTCTGCTTCCATCCACAGTCGTGTTGCCATGGCTGTAGCTTCAGGACTTCTGAGGCCTATTTTTAGCTCCCCCCTTTTCTAGTTGCACAAATGCAGGCAATCTCTCTACCTGTCTGGCCCTAATTCCCTCATCCGGTGCTCCCTGTGGCTGGAGAGTTTTCCATACCGAATTGCACTAATGAATGAATGATGATAGGAAGTGCTCGGTCTTGTGGAGCATTTAGGGTAGTACCAGTTAAGGTGCAAAGTCTTGACATGGTGTTTTCCCTGGGAGGAGGTATAGATGCTGTTAGCCCCATTCACTTGATGAGGAAACCAAGTCAGCCTGGTTACGTCGCTTATCCAAGGCATGTCACACAGCTGGGAAGGAGCAGGGATGTGAACCAAGGTGGCCTGGCTTCAGATGCCAGACCACGGGGTCTCGGACTTTTAAAGATTCTGATTCTGTGTGGTGTTGGGCGGGCGCTGGGCATCTGTACAGGAAGCAGCACAGGTGGGCTCCCTGATTCTTGGCCATTTTATTCTATTTTATTTTTTGAGACGGAGTCTAGCTCTGTTGCCAGGCTGTGCAGTGGTGTGATCTCGGCTCACTGCAATCTCTGCCTCCCGGATTCAAGCGATTCTCCTGCCTCAGCCTCCCGAGTATCTGGGATTACAGGCGTGCGCTACCACATCCAGCTAATTTTTGTATTTTTAGTAGAGACGGGATTTCACCATGTTGGCCAGGATGGTCTTGATCTCCTGACCTCGTGATCCACCCGCCTCAGCCTCCCAAAGTGCTGGAATTACAGGCGTGAGCCACTGCGCCCAGCTGCTACATCTCTTTTTTTAAGATAAAGGAGCCCGTGGAGGGTTGCAGCGTTCCAACTCATGAGATCTAGTTACGGAGGGAATGGGTAAGTGGGAATCAATATGACATATTTTATGTATTTACATCCTGAGCCCATATAGTTTCTTGAACTCAGGACTCATGTCCAGCATCACATTTGGACATCTCCTTTTGGATGTGTCATAGGCAAGTCTGGAGCATTTCCAAAACAAAAATCCTTATCTCCACCACACCCACCCATCCCATGGTCTTTCACCCATTGTAGTTAGGCAGGTTTATTCTTTGAATTCCTCAGGCCCCAAACCTTGAAGTCATCCCTGGTTTCCCTCTTTCTCATACTCCACAGCAAATTCTGTCATTTCTACCTTAAAATTATTTCCAAAGGGGGACCACCACTTCTCCCCACCAAGACTGTCAATGCTTGGGCCCCTGTTCCCTCCACCCTTACCCATCTGAAAACTTCTCAACCCATAGTGGGCCCCAATACCTCCCTGTCCTTCTCTCTCGCCACTCTCCGCTGACTTGCTCTGTGCTAACTACTCTAGCTTTTTCAGTTTTCCTTGAATGTTCCATACACTCCCCGCTTTTAGCCTTTTCTCTTACTGATTCCTCTAACTGAAACAGTTTTCCCCCAGATACCCCTGTGGCTCACTTCTTCTGGTTTTTACTCATATGTTACTTTATTAATGAGAGCTTCTCTGGCCACCTATTTCAAATTATATCCACGTTCTCTATTCCGTTCACCTAGCTTGATTTTCCTGTACAGCTCTTACAATCCACCATGCTAGATGTTACTTGCATGTTTGCCTCGTGTAAGCTCCATGAGGTCAGGGATTTTTATGTCATGATCACTGATTACCCCCTTGCATCTAGAACGGTGCCTGGCACAGAGTAGGTATACAAGAAATATTGGTTGAAGGAATGAATGAATGAATGAATGAATGAATGAATGAATGAATTCACCAGTGAGGACCCTGTTGTGAGGAATACATTTGAGCACAAAGGGGAAATTATGGATTGCCCTTTTCCAGGGGATACTCTTTCTAGCATATGCGGTACACGTGAGCTGTTGGTTGTAAATGGCATAGTTGAACTGGTAAGGGCCGAAGAGAGAAATGGAATGTTTTGAACTTCACTTTTTTTCCCTAGTAAATGCCACACTCACCTAGCACGTTATCCCTGACACTGGTTCAAGGATCGCCGTCCTGAGGAAATCAAACCTTGTTGGACTTTGTGCCTCACATATCCCTGCAGTCCTTTAATCAGTCATGGTGTTTCTTGAACACTCCATTTCTGGTTTTGGCTTGTACAGCCTGCCAGGATGTTTAATTTCGTATTCACTGTGTAAAGTGGGGCCTCCTTGCCTGCGCCTTTTGAAGTTTTAGGGACTGCCCCATGGTCATGTGTTTGCTCTTGCTGTTTAAGCTCTAGTCAAATGCCCTCTTGGCTTCTGTCTTTCCAGACTGAGATCTTAAGTTGCTCCACCCTCACACCAAGTCCCTCCTCCATCCATTTGCCGTCTTTTATCTCTGGGCCAGTCCCACCTCTGTGTCAGGCTAAGCAGCGGCTGTCCACACGGCTGTGCATTAGTATCACCTGGGGAGCTTTCCTGAAGCCACAGATGCTCAGTCCCCACGCCCTGCAGATTCCAATTCTCTGTGGTGTTGGATGGGCCCTGGGCCTCTGTGTAGGTGGCAGCACAGGTAATTCTCATGCGTAGCCAGGGTTGAGGCCCTCTGGTTTGAGTAGTAGAGGGTAGATGTCCTCTGCTTGTACATGAGGAAATGTTTTCTGTTGTGTAAAGCATCTTGTTGGATCTCGTCACCGTGGTAATCGCCTCATGGATGGTGACCAAACTCTCACAGCCCTTCCTGTGGTTTGTGACTTTTAAAGTCCGCCTGGGTGCTTTTCCTCTCAGAGTGTGTGTGCGTGTGTCACCCTTGCATCCAGGGGTAAGTCTCCCCTGCTTGGCATTTCCCCACTGATACCTTCCAGACTCATTACTTATCCTGTCTCTGGGGTTATTCTGCATTGTAGGCAGCATCAGGATTTGAAAGCAGAGTTTTGTCCCTGGCAAAGGTAAAGAAGACTGGGAAGAAGATGAGCAAAGCACGTTTGAACTCCAGGGAATCTTGGATTCTAGATCCTGACATGAAAGGCCCTGTTGGCCTGTGGACTATGTGTGGTGGAAACCTGGGAGACAGTGTGAAGCAGGGCTCTCACCTTTGTGTGGTGCAGCTGACATTTTGATCGTTCTCTGTTGGCGGGAGGGGGGCTGTCCTGTGCATTGTAGGTTTAGCAGCACAGTAGCATCCTTGAACCTACTCACTAGATGCCAGTAGCGCACACCTCCCCTCACTCCCGGGGTCATCATGACAACAGAAAACGTCTCCTGACATCCCTGGGGAGTGGGGGTGGGGAGGTTGCAGAATCGCCCCCAGATGAGAGACTTACTGGTATTGATGGTGGGGACACAGGCTTCGGTCCTTATAGAGAACTGGGTTTGTGTTTTAACTCTACTGTCCACTCTGAGTCATTTGGGGCAAATTTCTTAACCTCTTTGAACCCCCGTTTCCACACCAATAAAATGGGAATAATGATAACCATACCCTCCTTGTGGTTGCTGTGAGCACTGAAGGAATTAATGCAAATCCAGTATTTAGCACCAATCTCTGCTCGTGGTAATAAACACTCAGGTTGCTGTTTTTACTACAGTGCACTCTGCTCTAGACACATTTAGCTTAAGGGCTCAACAAAGTCTCCATTGTGTGGGCGAACCTGCCCCACTCAGAGTTGGCCCTGGACTGAGCCCCTGGCAGGAGACCAGCAGGGCCTGGGCTCTGGGTCCTCCTAAGTTCTGTCCTGCCTGTCACTTAGTGATCCCAGGGATCCCAGCCTCAGCACTACAGACATCTGGGGCCAGGCATTTCTCTGTTGTGGGTGACTGCCCTGTGCACTGTAGGATCTTAATCAGGATACCTGGCCTCTACCCCACCAAATGCTAATGGCATGTCCCCCTCCTCACCCCTACCAGTCATGACAATGGAAGTGTCTCCAGACATCACCAGTGTCCCCGGGGGGGGGGGGGGGGGGCAGAATTGCTTTCAGTTGAGAACCACTGATTTAAAAGCCTGACCAGGTATAGAGTTGAGAGATTTTTGAGGATGGTTTGGCTT